TCATCGCAAGACAGTTGTGTTTTTTGGTTGCGGAAATTATGCGGTTTTTTTTGGTTTCCATCTCCTCTCAGTCACCGGCTTGCCCTGAAATCCAATCGAGCAGAGGCCTCATTATTTAGTTTGAGCTCTTGTTTAGGGGCATTTAAATTCGAATTGCTTTTTCGGTCTTATCTCCACCTCTTTTTATGATCTTTTAAATGTAATTGCCCCACATTATGCAGATGTGTGCGGAATATGTATGCTTTAGTTATTTGCTTCCCATAAACACTGACGGGGTAATAAATGAATTGCCATTTCATTTGCAGTTTCCCCAGTCTCGAACGTGTGTGTGTTTGTGTGTGAGAATTTGCACAATTTATCTTTTGTGCATCGTAAATCTTGTTGCCTTTTCAGCATTTTCGTAAAATTTATTTCCTTATTAAAACTTTTGCCCCTTTTATTTGATTCAATTCTGAAGCGTCCTACCGAATCCGTCGGGCCAAAGGTTCTCTGAACGGACCTGCTGCACATATCGTATGTTTGCTAGGTGAGTGTAAGCCATACAGAATGTGATGTATATAACGACTGTTTGGGTTTTTATTTGTGGGCTCCAGGCAGCAGAAGGAGCAGCAGCAGTCGTCCTACAGAAGGATGCCGATGCCAAGGCCGCCTGCTCTCTGCCCAAAAGTAAAATAGTTTTCGAAAAAGCATTCAACTTTATCGTGCGTTTCCTGGGAAATTAACATGCTGCCTCCATTCTATTTCTCTGTTTTTAGATGTCTCCGTAGATCCTAACTAGCTCGTTTACGCCCTCCACATCCCTCCTCAACCCGTAACCCTTATTCCTTCGGCAGTAAAAAATCCAATGCCTGTGTGCGCCTATGACTGTCTACACATTTATGGGTGCGTGTGTGTGTGTGTTTGGCTCAGCACTAAACTTTTATTTTGGATTAAGTCAATTTGGCCAACAACCCATACAGGGATGGAAAAAAGTATTTTTCATTTGCTTGGCCAACCTTTTTATTAACAACAAAGTCGCTCCACATCAAACTATGCACGCAGGCCCCCCTCACACTCTTCACGCTACCATGTCGATTGTCTGTTCTCGCCCATTATTACGTATACGGAGCGTAGTCTCGACGGTGTAATCGACAAAGTTAAATTTCGCACTCTCCGGCACTCGACTGGTCTGGGCCTGATTTTCGATTCATCCATACGGCCGCATATTACGGGTATCAGCGCGTTTTTTCTCGTCGTATCCGCCAGAGACTCGTTTTGGGCAGCAAGTTTAAAGCACGCCATAAATTATGTCGGAAGCTGTTGGCACGCACACTCAGTCGACTCGAGCCACAGCTAGTGCGAAAGGCAAAGCCTGAGCAGCCCTTTTTCGCTGGCTGATTGCTTGATTTATCCACTGTCTTTAGGCTAAAGACTTTATTGGAAAAGTTTGATTGGAGTCCTCACTACTCAAGCTGTCGCTCTGACTGACTGACTGACTGACTGACTGCTGGCTCATTGCGGTCGCGGAGCTGGTGCGGAGGAGCCCTGATTGCTTCATTTTGGGCAAACAATGAGGGTGGACGCTGTTCGGCTTGATTGACGTCAGCTCGCTGGGGCCATAAATCATACATGCACACGCCAATAAGTCACAATTTTGAAGTGTTTAAACATTAATGGGGCCTCCGCACAACTGTAGTCAATCAATAAATGATAAGCCTGTGCGAAAAAATGAGCCATTAAAAATGCATTGCCCGCACAGTGTCTATCCCCCAAGAGGGCAAACAGAGCAGGAACACAGGAAGGTGCGATCCGACTGCAGTTAGCGAATGCATTAATCATCAGCTTAGGCACACTTTTGGCTTTTGGTTTCTGCCCCAACAACAGGGACAAATCTCAATTACAATACTCAAGCGGGGGCTCTTAAGCGATAGTCGAAGGAAGGAAGATGTTGATGCCATATATTATCATGTTATATTTAATTGAATATACATATATTCTTATTAATTTAACCAGAGCAAGCCCAACAAATTGGATCAGCTCTCTCAAAGCTCAGGTCACATGTGGACAACATTTTAAAATTGGTTTATTAAAAAAAGCTTTTAGGCATCGTTATCGAATGAACCATAAAATTAATCCAGCGTTAAGAGGCGCCCTGTGAAAAGGCCAGAATAAACTCTTTGCTCTCTTCGCCTGACATTGTTGAATTTATTATCTTGAGCATAAATCAAGTTTAAATTGTATGCCATCCAGCTCTTACTCACTGGCTCGGTCCCATAATGAAAAAGTACATAAAAATGGTAATTACCTGCAGGACTCCTCTCGAAGCCAGCATACGGGAAGATGATGTCTTTAATTACAGTCACCCAGTGCAAACAAAACCTGTGCCAACAACCTGGCAAAATCTTTTAATTCTACCACAATTATCAACGCGTCTGGCATATGCAATTGAATGTATGTATTCCCTTTCCAGCTACCCTATTCCGCTTCATGGCAAAGTCATCTGGCAAGGGATTTTGGCTAAATCCTGCGGTTGCCCCGACATCCTTCTTGGCCCTTGGAAGACTGCTTACACTTGTTAGATATAATTATACTCTCCATAGGGTATCTTACAATTGAGTATATGTTTGCCACGCAGTGATGAAAGGATCTCAAGCTGTTATTGTCAAGACAGTCTGCATTTTTCCTCTAAGCTCAGCCAACCTGTATCCAAATGGGAAGAATATGGTATACAAGGGTATTAAACCCTTCGGTCCACGTACGTAGCTATCCTTTTCTTGTTTTGCTTCTCCTTTGTAGGTTTACGGCCTTTTCTTGCTAATGATTGCCGGCAGACTACGACTACCCCACCCACGTGACTTGGTGGCGTGCTATGTGTGTTTGTGTGTGTGGCTGTATGCCTGAGTGTGTGGTGGAGATTTCGGTCTCTGCCGTGTGGTTTTATATGAGATTTGCAAATTGCCTTTTATAATATTTAATACGCCATGTTGCCGTACAGCTTGGCTATAAGTACGTACTGTTACTACTCCCAGACTCTGGCTTAGCATTGCTGCCCCGGTCGAGGCAGTTTTCTACTTCCATTCTATGTCGTTTACAACATTTTTATTACTTTATACGACAAAGTAAACGTCTGGAGCTGCTGTTGGCCTCTGAAGTATGAGTATCTGCGAATTGTCGCCTGGCTGCCCTTCCACTTTTGAATGACGGGAAGCCAATGGTTGGGTGGACTCACAGATAGTGCTCCTAATGTTTCCTCTGGAGGTTTTTATGTGCAATTAATGTGCGTTGTATTCTCTAATGATATGAGAACGACAGCCGTCGCTTATTTATATGTTTTAATGAATAATCCGTCGTAACATAAATCATACGCCTCGCTTTTCTCACGGCCAATGCAAATAAATCAAAGCGAGTGCCAGAGCCAAGGGGCCAGTGACCCTTAAACCGGGGTCCTGGCACGCCCGAACGCCTTTCACATGTGTCTTCGCCCACCACCTGCGCAGACCCTTCGAGTGGCTCTGTTCCTGACTGAAGCCCCGACTGAAGTAGTTTTCCCTGCCCCGCGCGTGTTGACATTTTTACACATGGGATGTGATGTTAATACCAACAACGCCAAGATTTATGGTACTCCCCATGCCCCTGCTCGTGACACAAAGTTATTGTTGCCACATCTGTTGCCTCGAACCTATCAATACCAAATTGCAGTCGCTTAAAATATGCTTAAGGCTGTCAGACTCGACAGGGGGCATTAGGAAGGATGAGGCAGAGTTTGGCAACTTGATTATCCGACATTCATACCCCTTGTCACACCAAATTAGGGTTCCGACGATGACCAGAGGATCGGCTAATGTCCCCTCATTAGGAGCAGCCCGCATCGCATTCCCTTTTTGTTTAACTCGCTTTTTTCTGGATTCTTTTGTGGTTTTATGGTTGCCGCTTTTGTTGTTGCGTTTGCGGCAGAAAATAAAAATAAATTTAAAAACACCCCATGCAGAATATGCAGCCATGCGTATAATTAATCTGTTGGCATTAATTGCGGCAAGGGCTGGAAAACAGCATTTCCAGAAAGCAGAGCAGCAGGAGGGGAAACAGAAACAGAATCACAGAAGGCTGAACGGAAAGCCTGCAATTATTTTAACGCTCACTGCGGCGAGATAAACTAAAGCGGACACTTCTTCCACTCCCGCACTTCTTTGCTGGAATATCATTGAGAGGCAGTACCAGGCATGGTAGGCAAAAATGCTAGCAAAGCTGCTGCCAGGCAACAGCGGGGAAGTCAGAGTAGTCTATTGAACAATCTGGGCCACCAAGAGCAGCTCCAGCCAGTTAAAGCTGATTGGCTTGGCCTAGCTAAATACGGTTTAAAGACATCTTTAGCTGGGGCATCCACACTTTGCCTGACTGACTATCCATCTGTCTGTCTGTCTCTATGTATATCTATCTGTCGTTCCATCTTGCAGGCGTAATTAATTGCTGACCAAGTTGGGTGCACGCCAACACATTTTCACCTGGGCAAACTCAAGGAGGAGCCCCAGAACCAGCCCCAGACCCAGAAAGAAGAGGAGAAACGACTGCACAATTTATAAAAGTCAACACTTGAACACGTTCCAGCATTTCACAGAGCCCGAGCACTCCCCAGAACCGCCTACTGGCACCAGCACTGGCTCTGGGTGCCATTCCACTTCATTTTATTATCAAGCGTATTTTTGCACGTAATTGTTTTGACGTCACTTTGCAAATTGTCCTTTTTTTCTGCCACCGCCACTGCCCCAAGTGCCATCCTCCCTCCTCCTCCTATTGTGACCTCAGCTGATACTATTGGGTTTTTTGCTCAAATAGTTCATTAACCAAAAGCATTGCAATTAATTTTCTCATGTCAAGCAGTCCATCTGCATGTGAAACTGGCGGATGCCAGTTCCCATAAATCGATACAGTTATCAAGTCTTAATGGAAGGACTGTGAGTGCACAGGACTGTGGGGCATTATACACGTATATCTTTTGGGAATTCTCTCGTTCGTTTACTTACCAGCGCTACGATGATGGTATCTAAAAATAGAAGAAATAAACACAATTAGTAGGGGATCAAAGTGGTGCGAATTCGGGGTTCAAAGTGCAGGCCCCCAGCGATAAGGACGAGCAAACAGAGTAAAGTTTTTCAGCGTCTGTTGTGTTTGGCAGCTGCGCCTGCAACACAAACAGCAGACCCCCAACTTGCGCATAGATACAGCCACATACAGTCAGTGAGAAAGAGTGAGACAGAGAGGGTAGGGTGGGAAAGGTACACACATACACACATTCATCCATTGACATTGAACGAGCCGGCCTGATTGCCGCCTGCTGAGTCAGGGATGTCAGCCTAGGCGTCAGCAGTTTGCATGTTATTGACATTACGGCTTGGCGGCAGAAGCAGCAGGAGGAGGAGGTGGTGGATCGCAAGCAAATGTGAATCTCAATCTGACTCTGACTCTGAATCCTAGTCAGGGCAGGGCAGGAGTCTGTTTTATGTGCCCTTTGTAGCGGCTTAAGTGCAATCAGACTGCGCGAGCCCAAGTCTCATTTCCCCAACATCAGCGTCATCATTCGCCAATGCCACTTCAGTGGAGCTGAAGCTGGAGCTGGAACTGGGCCTGTCATCGGGTTAGAGTCAGACAACCCATGGCAGTCTCCTAATCCGCTGTCAGCCAGACCAAAGAGTAGATCAGAAGGCCTCCTTCTTCGTGCTGTTTCAATTAAATATTGGCAACGTTCTTCTGAAAAAATGAAATAAATTAATTATGCTCGCCTCGCTAGTCGCGTGCTCAGGGGAGCTGAGGCAACAGAGCTTCTGGCGAAATAATTAAAAAAGGACACGCTGGTCCAATCCGAAAAAGTAATTATTTGTCTCACCCGATCTGCTCCCTTTTCGCTCTGTTTGGGCCAGCAAACTTTTACAGCGAATTGAAATTAATGAAAATAAATTTTCAGAATTGTTTTCAACCCCTTCTCGCAGGGTGCAGGCCGCTGAAGTTGACTCTTGGAAATGATTTGAGTGTAATAAAGCAGAGGCAAAACAAACCAAAGTAAGCCAAAGTAAAAGGACGAAGGGTCCGGCGAAGACCCATCATCCATCGCCCCCTGGCCCATCACTCCAAACATCATTGGCGGCAATAGCGAGGGCGGCCCGTGGGGCTGCTCTGACTTGGCACATGAAAGCACTTAAGAAATTTAGTTCTTGTTCTCAATCTTGTATCTGAGGTCATTTCGGGGGTCACAGAGGACCCAGGCGGTGGACCTTTCCCGAACCGCCCCGTCCCACTCTTTTGGTTTGTTTGACCGATCAGAAATCTTGCAAATGCCTTTGACTCTGACTTTGGTTTCGGTTTGGGTTTGGGATTAGAACATGTTAGGGGGGGGTGGGTTCCACCCGCGAGAACAATGCTCCCTCAAACTTCTGCTAATCTTCAAGCCAATTCGGTGGGCATCAAACTAATTAAATATTCGATTAGCAACAGAGACCAGAGGCAGGGCGTACCAACTGACAAATTAAAATCCATTAATATTCTTTCGCATCCCGATTCATTTTGCATGCTCACTGGCCAGGTTGTGCTCCGTGCTACCATTTGCGCGAATCCCTTGGTCCACTCTCGTTCTGTGTTGCATACACTTTTAATGCGACTATGGCCAGAAGCGCGCTGCCATTTGTTTATTTAATTAAGCCCATTAAATGACAGCTACTTTCGGTAGCTTTCCTCTTTCCTCATCCGCCCCTCGACTTAGTTTGTCCATATGCTGCGGACACACACACATGCATAATTAATGGGGAGCTTGGCAGCTTCGTCTGATTATGAGCATATTGAGCTTTGTTTTGGCCATATTGTGTCGGCAACTGGGAAGAACCGACCGCCTCTGGCATATGTTGCAGAGAAATTCAGCTTTATCCCTTTTAAGCCGCCTCGTCTGACATTTAAAACGCCTAATTAGCTGCGGGCTCTCCGACAGCGATCCTGTTTCTCTTCCTAATGAAATTATTGGAGCATGCCTCTCATTCATCTATCCTAGCCATATGGCCCATGACATGAAATGACCTCTTATTAAGTATGGCCAGCTGCAAACAAATTGAATTTATTCAAAATGTGGCACATTGTGGGCGTGAACTCGTGTGTCCCTACGACTACCTCATCCACCACCCCTACCGTACCTAAGTAAAACTTTGACCCAAAGTATTCCAATCCCAATTCCATGCCCCTACCACAGCATTCAACTTGACTATTCCCATTTCCAGCCCGTACCCGTGCCCGTATCCATGTCCATTTTCATGCATGGACACACCTCAGAGTGGAGAGTTATTTAAAAAGGAGCAGCCGCACATCCTTGACCACTGAAAGTGGGCACGGTACGAGTGCCGGTATGGTATGCCCAATTTCATTCATTTGAATTGTGCCTCCAGAGCCGCATTTTACGATGGCGATTATGCCATTTTGACATTTTATTTTATTTATTTGTGTGGCCAGGCGAAAGGTCAGTGCTAAAGAGATACGAGCATCGCTGGATCCCATCCCATAAATTAGTGCACTTCCGTTCCTGCAGGGCCTCGGCCTCTTGGGCGTCATGGGTAGGAGGTAGCGGTCACATAATCCCCTCAAGTTTATTGAACTTTATGAGCTGGGATTACATGCCGCAACCAAGTGACAGCCGACGGGGACCCTTGGCAATTTATGTGCCTACGTGTGACTGACAAGTTTATGTTTTCATTTTTCTGGATCTCATAAATTTCCGCCGATACTGGGAGATTTAAAAATGAGTGCCACTGAACTCGAGTATAAATTTGCTAGGCCGGGGTTCGTGACTCAAGCTGTGAGGCTCCAGTGTAGCCCGAGCCCAAGCCTGGGACTGAATTATGAGCTCAAGACTCTACTTGCCAGCGAAGGGTTTATTGAAATGAGAGGCAAATTAGAGCCAAAGTCCGTCCCCGTCCTCCGTCCCAACTCGTGCTATTAATAAGTTCGATGGGATGGATTCATTGTGCGGGTGGGTGGTTTGCTTTTCCTTTGAAAACGGATTGTAATGCCATTATGCACACATGGCTGCATCCTGGGTGGCACATCAAAATCGATTGCCACTATTTGAGTTTATTTTGGGGAGTCCAAACAATGCACGATGGTGTTTTAGCCATCAACTGATTTAATGTTGGAATTTGTGAGGTTGCCACAGTTCTCACAGGATGCCAGTAGTGAGTGGAGCGTGGAAACCGGAACGATCCTCTACGAGTTGTGTTTAAAAGTTTATTTTTATCTAAACATGCAGACGGACGAAAAAAAGTGGCAGCACGGCCTGAGTGAAAATGGTTTGCACAAGCCAAGAGTGTGTTTTTCATGGCCCCGGGTTTCCACTTCACTTTTTCCCCCTTTACTTTACTTTACTTTACTTTACGTTGCTTTACTTTACTTAACTTAACTTCAGTTTTCGTTTCGCTTCGTTCCAGTGGAGTTTTTTTGTACAGCAAAAAGCCTTTCAGCGCTGAGCCTTTAAAGCGAATTGAATTTGCCGAACATGTTGTTTTTGCGCTTCCTGCCGTGCACTTTGCCATTTATCGTTGCCGCTGTCCACTCTTGCGGGTCTTTCCCCCTTCTGTCAGTCTCCCCCTGGCTGCTTTGCTCATTGTGCCGGAATGACCAATTTTTGTGATTTTCAATTAAGTTAACTGTGAGAGTAGCTGCCTCTCGCCTCTCGCCGGATCACTGGTATTTTGTAGCAGTTTAAACAGCTCCCGGCTGCACTTGCTCTCGCAATCACAATCACAGCTCTTGCTCTGGTTCTGGATCCGGCTAACGCTCCAGCTGGAGCTACAGATGCCACATTTCTCTGCGGCTAGCCAGGGCGCTCGGTACCATTAGCTGGGAAATTTATCTACATGCACTTGACAGGTGGCCAGTGCAACGGCTCCGGCAGGGTAGGGTAGGGAAGGAAAGGGCAGCACAGCTTGATTTAGTTGGGTTGAGCTGGGCTGCCACACTAAATTGGACCGCCACTTGATGTGGCAGCCAGCCTTCCGCATGGACATGGCCGTGAACAGACAGACACATGCCCCCGGGCAATTGTGCGCTCGTGCTTCTGCAGCTTCTTCTCCTTCTGGTGAGAGACTGATGCGATGCGATGCGATGCGATGCTCTGCTATGCGATGCTGTGTGGTCTGCTAAGTGCTTGCTGCTAAATTGGCTAAAATTCAATAAGTTAATGGCAGCCCCTTTCCCTGCCCATGTCCCGCACTTTGACAGCTGCAAGCTGTCGACATTGCTCGTTGCACCCAATTTCATTTTGCATGTGCAAAATGTTTACTTTCGGTAGCTGCCATCAGCTCTGATTACATTAGGCATTAAAGCGGGGCTGGGAAGGGACGGGACGGGATAGGATGGACATGGACGAGCATGTTGGCCAAGACAGTCAGGTTGTGGCAATAATTTTGGGTGCTCCCTCCGCTCGTAAAACAAAAAAGGAATCAAGAAAATCGTTCCACTTCATTTGCCACAATCGCCGGAAAATAAAATAGACTTCCAGTGCCATTTGTCCCTGTCAGCTCACAATTTACGATTGACAAACGATGTGCGGAATGAAGCAAAGAAAGTACAGAGCGAGGACGGGGACGTGGATAAGGACTGGCCAGGACCCACTGCCAGCTGCAGCAGAACCAATGAACAAATGAAAAATCCTGCCCACTCGTCGTCACCCTCTCAGAAATAATACAAATTATGGGAGAATTCGAGGGGCGAGCAACTCGCACATTTCTGTTCCTCAGGTATTCATCGTCAGCGTGCGTTAACACACGGTCGTTCAGGGATGTCGATGTCAAATGGTAGACAAAGACTCGTGGATGGATGTGAATGTGGATGCGGATAAGGGAGCGGCAGACAAACCCTTTTAAGATGTCAGGTTGAGTTTTTTCTTGTCTCCAGATGTGTCTAATGAATGCTGACGCTGATTCAAGAGGAACGGCCGCCCGACCATGGGTAGGGCAATGCATGGGACAATCGCTGGAGCCTTTTCACATGCTGCATTCTTTCCTCCGTTCC